CCGAGGCCGGTAGCAACAAAAACTGCGGGGAACTCTGCAAAAAACGCATCTTCGCACGGACAGCCCCTGCGTTGGCCATTTATCTTTGACGCAGACCTTTTTGCACGCTTGTTTTGAACAATTAGGCACGAGAAAAGGGAAGGTTTTTTTGCAGGAGGGACGTGCGTTTCGTGGCCGAGCAGCCCGGGTCTGGGTCGCTCAGACGTCGACTGATAGTTTCAGCGGAAAATGAGTAAGTCACTTTATGTTATTACTGGGAAGGTCGCCCGAAAACTAAGAAATTTTGCATAAATTAGGAAGAGCGACTTAAAAAATAACGGGATTGTTAAATTTAGGGCTCGTCTGAATGGTTTAAAGTTGATTTCAGGTGATTTTCACAGGCACGATTTTCATGGTCATCAGCTTTTTGAGGATGGACAGACATCTGTACTTAATGCTCCCATTGCTGCGTACCGTTGCTTCATTTACGCGAAAAAAAAAAGCCTCGGCTGAGCATTCCCTCTTTCCCAGGTGCCACGCACCTGTTTCCTAAGTTATCAACATGCGCCTGGCGCATGGGTTGTTGCTCCGGTGATGTTTGTCACAACGATGTGTGCAGCACAACATTTATCCTCCGATTGTCCATCTGACTACGAAAAGATAGTTTATGTGCTGTGAATTGCGTGGCGAGTGTCCATACGTTCCCCACCGTGGTAGTAGTACCTGTTGCGAGGTTGATATTTGCAGTTTATACGAGGGTCCTGATAAACGAGCAAGGCTTGCTGATCAGGAGGATGCTGCTCGACGCGCTGTGCAATCGTCAATTGTTATGCCAACTATCGAAACAAAATCACGTGAGGCTGCTATTTCGGAACTCAAAGGTTCCGAGAAAAAGGAGGTTAATGTGAGGTCTGTTTTGTTCGATTTGGGAGAAAACCAGATTTTTTTAGGGATAATTAGTAAGAAATTTGTAAAAAATTTGCTAGTTGAACTTCAAATTCGATAGGCTTGGATTCCTACAGAACTGACATGGATAGTTTAATGTTCACTGAATAGTTTCGTTTTTTATGCGTTTTTTGCAGCAATGCAATGCGAAAAACGCATATTGACGAGAGGTTGTCT